CCTAAACCCTAAACCCTAAACCCTAAACCCTAAACCCTAAACCCTAAACCCTAAACCCTAAACCCTAAACCCTAAACCCTAAACCCTAAACCCTAAACCCTAAACCCTAAACCCTAAACGTCGAACCCAATTCCCCTAGAATTAGGGTCTAGAATACAAAATACCCTAAAAGTCGAGGAACGCCGCCGCGACAAGAGACACACACAAGGACACTCGCGCGATGGGACCATGAAGATGATGGGGAAAGAGACGGCGTTCCGGTGGGATTGTGGTGGTACAGATTAGACCGCGATATCCGGTTCCAAGAGCGACTGAAGCGTTTGAGAAACTTCGATGACGACTCGAAGCATGCGCTCGAGTACCTCGAGACGTGTGCACCAAGAAAAGCCAAGACACAAGGCCGAAAGGCTAAATAAGGTTGATGAAGAGATGAATGAGCTGATAATAACGGTCTCCAAGCGAACAGAAAAACGTTCCGTCCCGCGAATGAATAGGAAACGAACGTATTGTAATTCATCTGTCGATACATCCAAGCGAGTTTCACGCGCGCTACACACTCAGAGCACGGCACGTCGTCAGTAATGCAGCCACGTGCCGAGCAAGCCATCGAGAACCGTCTTCGCGTCGCTTTTTTTTAAACCCTGCCTCGCGACCGCGGCGGCCTGCTTGGATACAACAAGGACACCCCTGCGCGCATTGACACGTTTCTATAGCTTTCAGTGCTCTCCGCCACAACTCTTCGATGTTGTCGAAGATAGTTTCAGCGACGGAACCGCGAATGGCGCTTGTGTCCGCGAATCTTCGCGTTAGCTGCAAGGCCACGGCAATCATCACAAACTTGACGCAGAGCTTACCGGAGATGGTTGCGCATATCAATTCCTTATTCCTATTCCTTCACGCGCTACGATTCCCCAAGAACGGTGCTCAGAGCGTCTGGACCGTGCCGAATCTTTTCACGGACGTTAGCGCCATATCCCGACGATGGCGTCAGCAACGCCGCGTACACGCGAGTGTACGCCTCGACCAAGCGCTCGTTGTATCGCATCGCGATGTCGCGGCGCACGCTCGGCGCTTGAATCGACTCGAATTCCGGCGCCTTTGTGCCAGCGGCGTCCACGAGAGCCGATAGAGCGTTCGCGACCTGATCGATTCTCAAGGCTGGGTCGTTCGCCATGATACCGTTTCCTTGTTCTTGATAGAGCACCACGAGCTCCAAAGCGTCGCTTAGACCCGTCGCGGCGAGAAGCGCGCCAGCCTCGGCGTCCGCGACTTCCGTGAGCTTTTTTGAAATCGCTCGATTTAAGTCGTTTACCTTGACGTTAGCCGACGCGTGTGAACGGAGAGGTTCGCGAATCGCGTACAAGCAGTTGAGCGCGAACGCATCCGGCGCCCACTTCGGCGCGTCGGCGCTCGAGCCGATGACGCTCTTTATTTGGTCCGTCATGCGAGCCGACGCGGCTTCGACGGCGAGCAAAATTGGATCGATCAATCCGTTCAAAGCCAACGCGATGAGCTCTCGCGTTTCATCGTCAGAAGCCGCTGCCGAGCTCGCGGATGTCGACACCGCATCGAGCAACTCGATCGCATTCGATAGTCCGTCCCGTAACGCCGCCGGAGGCGCGAGCGCGTCGTCGCCCGAGACTGTCGTCGGCGCGAGTGACAATTTCTTGTACTTTCCTCCGTGTTGCGCGACAGCGTCGGCGAAACTTGTCTTGGAGCTTTCGCGCAAGTCGCGCACCGCCTTTATCAACGCCGAGCCGTCGTCTAGCAAATCTCCGAGCGTGGCGTAGTAAAACATGAGCAGATGGGCCAACTTGTACGCCGTCATCACTCCACCTTCGGAAGTCGAGCTCACGCTGGCGAGCACTTGCTCTACTCGGACTTTGAGCGGTCGACAAACGGCGTCGAACACTTTACCGAGCAGCTCCTTTGCCGGATCAAACGCCAGTTCGCCCTCACTAACGTCTCTGTCCGAAGCTTGACCGTCGTCTCCGAACACGGCGTCGCAAAATTCCCTCTCGCTCGCCACAGCTGCGTGCACCCAACTCAACATGTCGCCGACATACCGGAGTGGATCGTGCGCGTGCACTTCGAGCGGCTTTGATCCTACGCTTCCTCGCGTCAGGGCGGTGATGAAGCGTCTAAATAGAGCGTTGTGCCGCGTCCGCGTCACTTCTTCCACTGACGCCCTGAATAGCGTCGGTCGCGAGCGCAACTCGCGCACGGCTTTTCGCAGAGTCCTTTCGTCGCCTTCGGTGATGAAATCGTCCTCCTCGGCAAGCATTCGGCACTTTGCCACGAACCATCTTCGAAGCTTTTCGTGCGCAGTCTCCGCATACGAGGTCATGGCGTCCAACATTTGTAACCCCGCTCGCTGTTGATCGGCATCCTTGGTGAGCCTGGAGCAGTTGCTCTGAATGACTTTTACTCGTTCGAGAGCTGGGAAAAACGCCGCGGGCAAGTCCACACTCGCCGCCGAGTCATCCTCCACTGTCGTCAACGCGTCCACCTGCGCCTTTGTGATCTGGAAATCTACCGCGAACGATTTCACGAGCTCTCTTCGCGATTCGATCGATCGTAAATCCTCGCTCGCTCGCTCCGCCTCTCGCAAGAGCGCCGACGTCTTCTGTTTTGAGCCATCCAGCGCTCGTTGCATGCGTTCTCTCGCCCCGTCCAACGCCGCAAGCGTCGCCTCGACCTGGCTCAGCTTTGTTTGAGCCATGAGCGACGCGTCCAGAAAGCTCTCATTCAGCGCTAAGCCGCGACGCTCGACCGCCGCGCGCACGTTCACCGACGCGCACGGCGTCGTCGTCTTGTGCTGGGACGAGAGAATGTCGCTCAGCGCCCGCACGCACGTCGCGAGATCGACCCGAGGCGCCGTCGCGCGCGAGGACGTCGTTTCACCGCCGTCGTCCCCCTCTCCACCCTCGTCGTCGCGCGTGCGTGATCCAACCACGGCGTCGTCGCTCAGTCGGAGCGCCAAGGCGCGGTCGATCCGGCGAGCGAATCCACTCGCGAGCGCCTGCGTCGTCGTCGCGCTCGTCGTCGCGCTCGTCGTCGTCGTCGCGCGCGTCGTCGCGCTCGTCGTCGCGCGCATCGTCGCGCGTCGACGCACCCGCGATCGGCGGTGCGCGCGGGTGTGTCGGTGGCGCGAGCGCGTGTCGGACAGATCACGCTTTCATCGCATCGATTCAAAGCCGTGGCACCCATTCCATGGCTTTTCGTTCGACCATTCGTTCACGCGCGCATTCACGCGCGCGCTCGACGGCGGCGCTCGACCGATGACGCCCGCGCGCGCGGTCGTCTACGCTCGGGCGATCGCGTCGACGTCGACGTCCGCGTCGCGCGCGCGTGCGCGTCGCCCCGAGGCGCGCGCGAGGACGTGGACGTGGACGTGGACGTCCAACGCGGACGGGCCGCCGACGCGTTGGACGAGGTGCGCGCGCGCGCGTTCGAGCTCGTACGGCGAGGCGCGAGCGACGTGGTTCGATGAAGAGGAAGACGTCGAACGGTACGAAGACGCGCGAGAGAGAGAAGACGCTCGAGGACGAGGAAGAAGAGAAAAACGTTGGGAAGAGGATGAAGACGACGGCGACGGCGACGGCGTTCGGGCTCGACGCGGATATTCAGAGCGGAGACGCGGGAGTAAGCGAGGCGGGTCCGCGTACGACGCGAGTGCGAACGTGCTCAAGCTCGCGTACGACGCGCTCGTGGGAATTTCCGAGGCTTTCACGCGAGCGCTCGACGTGTTGCTCCCAACGGCGGTACCGATGTACGTCATACGCGGACTCGTCGCGGGTGGCTGGTGCGCGTTCGCCGTGCTCTCGGCGTCGCGCCTTATTTATGGCGTTGTCGTCATCGGCTCGGTTTTGTGCATCGCGGTGGCGTTGGGAAATTACCGCGACGGCGGCGGCGACAGATCGCCTGGCTTGTACGAGTTCGCCAGCGATTCAACGCGTCAGGGCCGGCGGCGACGCGAAGACTTCGATGAACGACGAAGGGCTTCGGCTCGAGAACGAAAGCGCGAAGCGTCGAAGGAGCGAGAAGAGTACGATTACTATGAAGAGCAATATTGGGGCGATGCGTCAAATCCGACGTTTGATAACGCGCGCGCCTTCGGCGAGACGTTCAAGACGGCTCAAGACGTCACCGAGGAGGTTCGTCAGTGGGGAGAGGAGACAATTGACGAATTTAAAAGGGCATTCAATGTGAACGCTGGTGAGGTTACTTTCGATGAAGACGTCGCCGACGTCATCTTCACGACAAACACGCGGAACGATGACCACGCAGTCGTCGTTGAAGTCGACGATTTGTCGCCGCGGGAGGGTGTGAACGTCGTGCAGATCATTGACGTCGACGCTCTAAACAAAGATTCAACGACGAATCAAACGGAATCGAGCGCGCAGAGATCGAGCGCGGCGGAAGTTTCGTTCGAAGATTGGCTCGGAAAAGGCGCATCCGACATCGAAGACGCAGATGTGTACACGACGAGCGACCGCCGAGATCGCCCGACGTCCGACGAGCGAGACTCTGAAAGTGCGTCTCGAAGGGACGACGCGGACGCTTTCGGTGACGCGTTTCGGAATGCGTTTGACGCATTCGGGTCATCGAAGAGCGAAAATGGAAGAAATGGAAGTGCGCGTAACTGGCTGAACGAGTTCGTGAGCGGGAACTTCTACGGCGCGTTTCAGGATGATTTGATACCCGTCGAATGGAAAGATGATGACGATGATGACGAAAACCCGGATACTCCGCGATGACGCGTGATTGTAACACAATGTTTCACTACGTATTGACCACAAGGCTAACTAACTCTGTCGCAAACCAACGTGTCCCCTCTGCTGTCGCGCGAGACTCGCGTGGTGTCGTCGACGTACACGTTTTCGAACCATCCGCTTCCGAACGGTGGAATCGGGATCGTCAGACCACCCCGGAACGCGAGCGACGCGCCGGTGAAGGAGAAATCCATCCGCGTGTCGGACACCGCCTCGATTTTCGCATCCACGGTGAACACCGCATCGCCGTCGTTGAACACCACCTCGTTTTTTAGTGTCTTACCTTTGACGTCTAACGTTTGAAACGCCTCCGTGGTGCTCTCCTTGAGCTTTAACAAGAAGAGCGTCTCCTTCTCCGTCGTGTATCGCAACCGCCAGCGCCCGTGCGCCGCGGCGTTGTTCTCGCTCGTCTTCGACGTCGACGCCGCGAGCGCGTCCACGGCGCGCTCGACGTCTCCCTTCTCCGCATCGCCCGCGCGCACCCCCCTGCGCGAGCGATCGACGAGTTCGAACAGGACGCGCTTCGGTGACGACGACGACGCCGTGGATGCCGACGCGATCGTTCGCGTTCGTCGTCGAGCGCGTCGCGCGAGGACGACGGATGCGCGCGCGGACATCGAACGCGCGGACATCGACCGCGCGGACATCGACCGCGCGGACATCGACCGCGACGCCGAGCGGGGCGCGACGCGCGCGACGCAATCGCTCGCGTTGCTCGACGTGACCGAGATGCCGCGTCTCGGTGGTCACAGTGCGAGGCGTCGACGCGCGTACGGGGGCGTCGACCGTTCGCTCGAGGGCGTGGGAACGAACGCGACGCGCGCGTGCGACGCGTGGACGGCGACCGAGAGCGGGAAGAGCGACGACGGACGCGCCGAGAGCGACGCGTCGTCACCTCGATCGATCCATCGAGCGAGAGATAACGAACGGCGACGGATCGTCATCGAACGGACGGAGAGACGTGAAGCGTCGATCGGGATGCCGCGCGCGCTCGTGATCGTGTACGGGTTATCCGCGGACCCACCGACGGATCGAGGCGGACACGGTTCGGTGGTTCGAGCGCTCAGGAGCTGGAGAAGCGACGCGGAGGGGTCGCGGTCGGGATCAAAGTCGGAGTCGGCGAGAGGTAGACGCGCGGATGAAATCTTAGTGGTTCCGACGTACTCACACGCGTATGCGAGCAAACGAGCTCGACAGGAAGGGCAGAATGGGGCGGATTACGACAATCGAGTCGCCATGTGCGCGATCGGTTTCGAGGACGCGAGGATGGAGAGCGAGAAGGCGCCGTTCGGAGCCGAGGGCGACGAGGGGTCGGCAAACTCGACGATCGTCACAATCTCTCGAGCCG